CCCCAGCATCCACCTGTAGGCTCCGACTGGGGGTTAAGGTATTTGCGCATCACTCCCCAATATCTCTATGTAAACATATCTGCGGGGAGTGATGAGGTCAGAGCCTAGACGCCAAAATCTAAATATGCTGTACTAAACGTGAGTTGGCTGACTGAACTGGTAGAAAAGGCTCTGCTTTTTCATAATTCTTAAATATTCTCAAAGAATATGATCATAAATCTTGAGCTTGGGGTGAAGCAGGGAGCTGTGACAATAAACATTGTTTGCATTAGCGTATCAGCAGAGTAGGAGTTATAAGTGTAAGGTTATAAAAGCTGCGCTGTAACTTGCCACGCAGGCCACGTAGCTGTAAATGAGACACTGTGAAGCATGTATTAAACAGCTGATGCCACTACGACTACAGTGCTCTGCCTGAACTAATGCTTAATTTCCATGAATATTGAGAAAACTGAAAAAGCAAGTGGACCTTGAGTGGAAATTGTTTTGTCAACTGTTTACAATGTCAAAAAAGAACTGTCAAACATTCAAATTGCATGAAACAAGAGAATTAGTTGCTATGTGTTAAAAACTAAGCAAACATAAACAGGAGCTAAATTCAACATAGTCTAATGTAACCTGAAACAATGTTTACAATGCTAATTAATTACCAATAAGTTAATGTCTAATTTAGAGGGTTTTTTTATTATTTCATCTACCCCCCTCGACTTATCTTCCACTTCTTTGTCTCAAGGCCTGCATGTAACTTTTATCTTAGATTAGGAAAGACGATCTGAAAGCCCCATTCAAGTCTTTCAGCCATCTCATTTATTATGATTTAAAAGGCTTTGCTGACAGCAGTCCTCCTCCTCTTAATATAGATGAGTTCAGCAATGCGGAAAAGAGACAGACCACAGATGAGTTAGTGGCGTATCAATAAAATGTGTCTCATGGGGCTACAGACATACTGTGTTGATATTGTGTGTTACCATGAGCATGTCACTGGTGACTGAATTGGCTAAGTCAGACACAGAGGAGTTGGCATCGTGACGGCGTCCGGTCTCGTCTGGGGTCTGACCTCTGGGGCTGCTGCCTGGTTTGTTACCTGGAGTTCTGTTAAAAATGACACAAACACACGCATGTTACCATAAGTTATAATAAGTTCATATTCAGCACTGTTGTCCACATACTTCTGTGTACTTTTGGTGTGGGGACGTTTTTTCAGTTCCAGTGAAAGAATAATCTTCATGCTACAGCATACAATGATATTTAAACCAAAAGTGTGCTTACAATTTTGTGGCAATGGTCTGGGGAAGGTCCATTGCCCCTGCAAACAAGGAGCTGTCTATAAAAGAAATGCTTTTCCCAAGTTTGGTGTGGAGGAACCTGACCCCAACCCCATCCAACACTTTTGGGATGAACTGGAACACCAATGGTCAATAAGGCCCAGCTTCCTTATGGAATAACATCAGTGCCTAAAATCAGTGCCTGACCTCTGTAATACTATTGTGGCTGAATGGGAGCAACCTGGTTCCAACATGTTGTGGGAGCCTTCCCATAAAAATGGAGGCAATCATGGGAGACTCTGGAGGGAGGTAGTCGAAAGTATAGCTAGGCCCTTTTTTCCTAGTTTGCCATTCCTAGCTAGGCTGTGACCATCTGATTCTTGTTGAGATGTAGATGAGAAGATCAGTGTGCACTTTCAGGTATGTACACTAATTATGTAGCAGTCAGTTAGCTTAGCTTAGCTTTAAGACTAGAAACTTGGGGAAACAGTAAGCCAAGCTCTGTCCAAATGTAACAGAATCTGTCTATCAGGAAGGCTCACTAATTTACACATTACACTTGGCCATTTTCATCTGTACAAAGCCTCCACTGTTTGCCTGCCTGGCAACTGCTGTTTCCCCACTGTCTCCAGTCTACGCTAACAGGGTTCTGGCAATAGCTTCATATTTACCAGACAAACATGGAGCGGTATCAATCTCCTCATTTCTTCAGTCTCTTACTCTTGGTAAGAATTTCCCAAAATGGCAAACTATCACTTTAATGTCCATAGCTTTGGGATCAAGTTGTTCAGCAGTTACATCTGAGTGTAATGTTGCAGTGTTCACATACTTTTGATCATGTAGTTTATGTCTCTCAAGCAACAATCGCTGTAGTGAGCCTTGCAGCTGTGTACTGCAATAGTATTGCATTAAAGAAAGTTACAGTCATCTAAACTATTTCTTGCAATGTTTGAATATAATTATATCAAACATACCCCCAAGCTAAACATATATTTATTTGAAACTTTGTCCATCACCACCTATCACTTCACATACTCTTAGTGCCCATGCACATAACTATGCCATCAACCAAAACCAATACAGAACAAGACCTTTAGAAAATAAACAATAAAACATCTGACTGATGATCCCTTAAGAAGAGAAAAATATATAGAAAAAGAAAACATAAAATTAGTAAAGGGTACCTTTTTCTCCTGGTTCACATTATGAAATAATTTGCTAAACAGGCTGAATACAAAGATCTGATACCCGTCTAGGCATATTGACAAATAAGACTAATGAGCACTTATCGCTGTGAGAGAGACGATCCGGGAGAAAAAACAGAAGGACTCAGAGAGACAGAAATAGTGAGCGAGGGAGCAGGTGAGCTGTAAAACACAAAGGTAAAAGCAGGAGTGAGATTAGATGAAGGTATTGTGGGAAAGATGATCCGAAAAGGAAAGATACATTTGAAGATTTATCTGTGCACAGAGGTTGAGAAAAAGTGAAGGAGAGGATTTGTCTTTGTTAAGACTTAGAGGATTAATAGAATGAACAAAGTGAGGTTACTGACTCAAATTAATGTGAGACTGAGACATCTCCAGACACACACAAAAACACACACAAGCATTAGCTGAAAGAGAAACTGAGAGCAGAGAGACAAGATAAAAGCCTGGAAACAAAACAGACCAGATTTGGTTTTGGGTAAAGAGTCGGATGCTCTAAAGTAGAGAAAGGAAGCAAACTGACACGTTACATGGGTAAACAAAATAGAAGGAGGCTGGGGAAGGAGGGGTGAGAGATGGACAGGGTTTGTACAGCAAAGAGACAAGGGAGAGTGAACCAGAGAAACACAGAGAGGAGGAGAAAAGGATATGGTGTGGAAGAGAAAATAATTGATTCGTCGCTCTGCGTTTATTTCCTGTGATCTGCAGGTCAGAGCACCAACAATGCAGCCCAGACGTAATTCAAAGTTCAATGGTTTTGTTTCAGAGGCCAGCCAAATACAGCTTATTATTTAATGTATCTGCTGAGAAAGAAGAAAAAAAGAAACTTAAATGCAGAGAGGCCAATCTGATGTACGCAGAGAGAGAAAATGTTCAATTACAGCCCCTAATATCAGCCCCTGACACATCTGGGAACTATGTGTTATATCTTAAAATAATTACATAACACATGGCAGTCATGCACATCACACCTGGCTGTGCCACTGACTTGACTCCCACCTGTACTGTGATGTTCTGTGTTCAAGGACCCACTGGTTTATCTCATTTAGCCCCTTCACTAAAAATTGTGACTATTATAGTGGATCGTTTTAAAAAGAAAGCCACAACATTTTAGATAATGTGTCTTTCTTCCAGAAAGCCGGTTGGTTGTCTGAAAAATTACACATTTCTCAATGGTTGCGCCTGATTGGTTGTTTATCTTCCAGGTTTTATAGTGTAAGAGCAACCACCTGAAGTGTAAAACTTTTGTATTTAAAAAGCTCTTAAGATGAGAATAAATTGTTTCACATGTCACCTCCCACCCCTAAACAAGCCTTTAACATGACTCCTTAGAGACATTTCCCACTTTGACTATAGAGCACATAATATATGCCTGTCAGCTGGGTCTCTATCCAAAGACTCTATAAACGCTTACTTGTAGGAGGGGTTGGCTCAATGACAGCCCACTGAACCCTAGTAAATCAACACCCAACACACCAGACCACATGAATCTCAAACAATCAACCTTACATAAACACAGCTGGGAATTTTCTCCATTATTCACAATGGAGATCTGCATTTCATTCTACTGTGCTGCTGTGAATATTTGGCTATAAATCACCTCAGCCATGCAGAGCACATGCAATACCTTAACACAGCGCATATAAAAACTGTTGTAGTTAATGCTGGCCCTGAGCCAACCAGAAAGTCTGACTGTTTTTATAACATTTGCATAAATTTAATGCAGTATAAAGTCAAAGGCTGTCAGTTGTGCCAGTAAAAGTAACCAGAAAGAAGTTTGTTGGACAATAAATGAATAGACCAAATACTGTAAATCTTCCCTTTCTATCGTACTTGAGAGACCCAGACAGACGACACAGGCAGACAGGCAGTTAACCAGATGGAGATCTAAAAACGACATTTGTCATAAAGTAGAAAATGAAAGCTAGAGAGAGTTTTATTACAGTAATAGGAAGCAAATCAAAGCTTCAGGTTGATGACCTAATTTATCAACTAAAAACATAGCATGTGTACACCAGACTAGTCAGTGTCAACTCATACATTTAACAAGCAGAAGATGAAACCACAAACATGAACTAGCCAAATTAAAACAAATTTGTGAAAATATGATGACATCCTGTCTTATTTTAAAAGAGGCAATGAATTCATAAGAGGAAACAGGTGCACTTCTAGTTAGGTGGCTCAGCTCTGAAAAGGACAGCTATTTGTTTCCCCAAAACAATTTTTTAATTTTATGTAATCTTTTTCTCTTTTTTCTTCAATTTCTCTGTTTTTCTCCTGCATTGAGAATCTTCTTGCAGGTGTACAAGTGCAATTGTTCTGTTGTTTGCTCGACGCATCATTTACAAAGAGAGTTAATTGTCATATGCTCTGACAAAGGTTTCATGCAGAAATGTGTCAGCAGTTTTGTAAGTGAAAAAGTTGTAAATTAAATGAACCAAAATGATCAAAACACCCTCTTTTCTTTTCTTTTCCTTTTTTTTTTTTTTACCAGTTTTTACCAGTTTGTTTTTGGGGAAAAATACACCTTTAATGGAGACAAATGAGCATACTTATACACTAAAGGACAAGTACAGTTGTGGCGTCTGCTTGTCATGGTCACTATAGAATAATGTTTCGTGACATGAAAGGAAAATAAAGACCTGCTGCTGCACAGAGCGTCCTCGAATCACGACTGTCGACACGGCAGCAGCCTGGGGGACATGGAGCAATTGGGTGTGGTAGAGAAGTGAGTTTATTCATGTGTGTAAATATACATATTTACTCACTATCAAATATACACACACACACACACACACACACTCACGTTGCATAATATCTCAAATCTACATCCTCAAATTAGCTTTTTGTCCAGAGATATAAAGACAATTATGAGACGTGTTATACTCCTATATGTATCACTAAGAAAAGAGAAGAAGGAATTATTCTGTATAAAACAACTAAATTCTTCTGACTCCAGTTATTGTGACTGACACAACTACAACATAAACTCAGAAGTGTTGCAATTTTTAGAAAGTAAAAATTAGTGTACGTGTATCATGATATTTATATATCATATGATAAACTTTGGAATCTTCCCAAACACAAGAAACAAATATCTGTAGCTATGAGTTGCCCCCTTTTCTGCCAGCTAGTGACTATCTCGTCTAAAACACAACACCGGTTACATAATTCATTCTTTAGAGGTTGTTGTAACCATGACTACTGAAATGTGTGCTCCCACTTAAGGTTGTACTCACTACCATCATGCATTTTACTTGGGGTTGCAGTAACCATGGTAACAGGGAGGCTTCAAAAGAGGGCAGTAAAATCCAAGAATCCAATCCACAGAGAGGGGCATATATTGAAAATAGCAAAAAGCCCACAGGGCAAAGGGACTAAACATTTAGAAAGCCTTTGAAACACACTACTGGAACTATTTGACTTCCCTCATACCTACACTTCTCCGACCCCCTGTGACCCTGCAAACACACCACAGCACATACCACTGGGTATGTGTGAACTCAAGCTGAAAATGGCTGATTCATAAATGCCAAAAAAAAAAAAAGCAGAACAACCTCCACCCATGAACAGGCAATGACAGAAATAAGCAACTATGGAGTTGCATTTTCCCCAGTTAATA